ATGCTGACTCTGTAAACCGCTTAGAGAGGGCTGAAAGCCCTATGAAGTGGTATATAAGTCTAACTGCTATTGCTAATAAAGAAAGAAAGATATTTTATTATTATTTGCAGAGTAAATTGTGGAAGTGTAATAAAGTTATCTTGGCACTTTTCCCTTTATTGCAGGCAAAAGGAAGGGACAAATTATTGCACAAGTCAAAAAAACAAAACAAAATAAAAAAAAATCCAAATTACAAAGGATAGGGGTTTTAGATATTTCTGGTTTCATACATTGATCCAATTTGGATGCCATCCCCATTAGAAGGAATGATTAACTCTGAAAACTGTCTTCAGCACTGACTATTCTTTTGTCTATCTCTTGCAACATGCCCTGCAGTGATCAACCAACCTTGGTGGTGATGATCACAAGGAAGAGATGAAAACATCTCTCCTTCCTGCCATTGCTCCTGAGCCTTGGTGGCACAGTGGTTAGAGTGCAGTACTGTAGGCTACTTCTGCTGGCTGTCTATAATTTGGCAGTTCAAATCTCACCAGGCTCAAGGTTGACTCAGCCTTCCATCCTTCCGAGGTGGGTAAAATGAGGACCCAGATTGTTGGAGGCAATAGGCTGAGTGTGTAAATCACTTAGAGAGGGCTGTAAAGCGGTATATAAGTCTAAGTGCTATTGCTGTTTTTGCCTAGTATTTAAATAGAAGCAGCATTTTTATTACATTCTGCAAGACCTTTCTATGTCAAATAATTACGTCTGTCCCTTAAAGGGTCAAACTCCTTGGCTGATAGCAAAATAATAAGACAAGTAAGAGAGTGCAGATAACTTGTGGAAGGTCTACGGCGATGACCGAAGAACCTCTTGCTCCAAGATTTGCTGAAGATGTTGCATTACCGCCAACGAGCACCGACATGTTCTTGAGTCATGCACATCGGAGTTTTGTTCCTGAATGGCAGGCCTGGTGAGGCTACAGAAGATGGACTCAGCAGCGGGTTTTTGCTCCCTCCTTTCAGAGACAGCACAAAGTCGATCAGGAAATTGGCTTCTGTTTGCTACTTTTTCCTTTTCAGTTTGGTCTGTGATGGAAGCTTTCAGTGAAGAGCTCAACCACGTTGTCTAACATGGTGTGAAATGTATTAGGACATAGGCTACGGTTCTATGACTGCTGGATTATTATCTTTTAAGGACTTTCTGTTTCTCTAGATGATAAACTTGAATCTAGATTTTTGAACAGCCCGGTGAAAATACAACCAGTTCAACCAGTTCATCATTTTCTGCTTGCCAGTTGATGGACATTCATAGCACTGTGATCAGATTGAATGATTCCCTCCTCAATACTTTCACAGATTCTCTTCGAAAGCAAATGAATTGTTTTCTTCCAGAAACTTATTTCTTTTCAGCATAGTAGAGGATCGTTTTTATTTTAGCATTGTTTTCATTTGTTTTTAGTAATTTTTGGACTTGTATTTTTTTGTATTGGAAACATATGGCTTGAAGTTTGTCCTGATAATACATTATATAGGGTTTTTTTTATCAACACAACTGTCCCAGTACTAAAACTTAGAGATTACTGCTTTTATAATACTTCTAATACAGGTCTATGGGGAAAACCATTAGCCAAAAAAGTATAACACTTCGCCTTTCATTCTAATATTGAAGACTTTTGGTAAATTATTTTAATATAGTTCTGCAGGAACCATAATCATGTGAGATATAGTTGCAATACCGCACAATTGATCGATGTATGTTCATCCCTTGGTTGTGTGCATTAACTTTAAAAAGAATGAGATATTCTGACTTCTGGGATGTCTTCTTTTGTGAAGATATGCTCAAACAATCTGCTTTTTTAATTTTTTTCTGATGTTTCTGTGTATATTAGATGTATAACTCTTAGTGAAATTTCAGTCCAACTATACAATCCAGTGTCTTGAACAACAACTTGCTGGCACAAAATACTCTTCTAAATTTTTGGAACTGATTCATACATGAACTCTATAGGTCTATTGAAGCGTGACCCGTCAAAACCGCGGTCCACAAAAGCGCGCTCGACGAAAGCGTGCATTTGACGTCATCACAGCGCGACGAAAAA